AGAGACTGGTAGAAATCATAGAGAGAAACACAATCAACCAATACATATCTGAGTGCGTGGAGAAACCTACCCTCTCCAATAACTAACTAACTAACTAACTAAACAGATGAGGTGGACAGAACATATTACATGCACAGGAAAAATAAAAATTGTATTTATTTTGTTTGTAAAGGCTTATGGGAATATGATGTACAGACCATTTGGGAGAATTATGTTAGATTAGTCTGGATCTCAAGAGTTTTTGAATGCGTAAATTGTATAGACTTGTTGTGTGGCTAACTTAATGGAGAAATTGTTATAGACCAAATAACAGTGGCATATTCAGGGAAACCCAGTGTCATGGAGTGAGTGAGTTAAAGAGCGCTGATTTTTTCTTTTCAGGCTGGAGTAATTGTCACCAAAAGTCCAGCACAAATGGGCGCAGAACTTTTGAAAGAGATGAGACGACGAGGACTGGCCTAACTGCATGGTGGCTGTATTAATATTATGTTAATTGGTAGATATTTGTATACATAAATTCAATGTTTTTTACTGGATTGTCAATGCTTCATGAGAGTATACACATTTTCCCAACTCATTCAACAGACGTAAAAATCAGTTGATATTTCGTGCCAAAGATGAAGTTGTTACAGAAAGATATACGTTTTATATGTGATTAAAGGTATTCTGTTTTCTCCTTTACTTTAATGATGATATATTCACTTAAGATAACCAACTCCAAAAATGTATTAATGCAAGGAGAAAGTGTATTAAATTATATTATCCACATTAATGCAAGTAAAAAGTGTATTAAATTATACTATCCACATTAAACATAAGAATCTTTTAACCGTCATCCTTTCCAGTATTAGGCCTGTCGAGACCTGTTACTGTACGATACCATTCACAAAAATCAGTCTGATATGCCTGCTGAAGAGGGTCATGATATTGCAACTTGCATGCAAGCTATGTCAGCGACTTTGAAGAAAATACTGACTGTGGGCTATTAACAGAGTTTCTGCAGTCATCAGCAAGACTGCCAATTTCTTCAGATCACTTACTGAGGTTATCAGTAACTTTGTCAGTGGCTGTGATGCTAGTTTTCTAGATAGCGCGGCCCTGAAATTAATTTTACATTAGAAGATGGCCCAACTTCAGGGAAGGAATACTCGTCTCCCACCTCGAGTGCGTGCCTGCTAAAATACTCTCTGTACATTTAATAATCTATTGTAGTGTGTACAGCCACTGCAATACTATAGACAAATAAACTATGTTATGCAACCCGTTTCTAGGCAATGGATCAGTAAACACATTCCCAAACATAACAACAGAGTTACCGTTGAAAACAGTGTTTTCTACTTGGTCCGTGCAAAGTTATTATAAGGAAGACAATTGGGGTTACCCATGCCTTAGATAACGCATTAAAACATTTCTATGTGTATCGAAGTAAGGATAAGGGACCTCCATTAATAATATTTTAAATTTTATTGGCTTTTAATTATTTGTACTTTTTATTTATATAATGCATATGTATCTAGAAACTCAATTGCTTCATCCACATATGATGTTGACCACTACACTCTGCTTCATTACTACAAAATACAACAGTTGTAGCCAAAACATGGAAGTGTGTTTATTTTCATTAAGTCAAATCATGGATTTTCCAAAACTTACACATTATAGTTTCAAACATATAATGAAGTAACTGTACAATAAACAAACTTCTATGTTAAACATAAAGTGAAACATTCTGAAATCCTCTAATTATCAGAAATACCTCATTCAAAATAACAATGAAAACAACTGCTAGTAAGTAATATTACCAAAAATCAGGTATATAAATATTCAATACATTGCAAAACTGAAAACAAAAATACACCTGATTTTACTTTGCTGTTACTTTTCTATTTATCCTCAATCAACGCACAAAGCTTAAAGGATCATACTGTTCAGCAACTCCAACTTGAAGTTTCTAAGGCTGAGAGAACATTCTTAATTAAGATTAAAATTTGTATACTGCGCAACATTCTCTCCAAACAAAAGTCATTTTGTTCTTATATTATGTTAGAGAATGTCACATCCAGCAGCCATCCATTTTCTTTTTCTGATTTCAATATGCAAACAAAATTTACTCTTAGGAAGCAAGCCATACATAAACCGCGGTATTGTATAATAAGCGCATATTTACTGCATTCCATACATCTCAGCTGAATAATGTACTGTACCAAACACCACTTTAAGCCCAGTCTGTTCTCTCATCCTAGAGTAACTACAGTCAAGTCACCAACAAAGACTACACTGAATATTTCCATTAAATTCCTTGCTAGTTCCACCTATTCTGAAAAAGAACTAATTTATTATTTACCACACTATATACCTGCACTTCATGACATGAACACTTCACCCGCTGCTGAATGAAAGTAATTCTATGTCTGTACATATCTGATCCATCTATATGGTGACAGCAGTGACACAAACATGAAACTCCATGCTCAATATTCTTTCTCTCTCTCATTCCATAAAATAATACCACACAGACAACATGGTCCCATGGACAAGAAAATACTTATAACTCAATGAAACAGTAATTGAAGGTAACAAAACATTCACTGCACAAAGAAAGAAAGAAAGAATGAAAGAAAGTAGGCCAGATGAATAAAGACTTGGATGGTTTCCAACTGTTCTTTTTCTCTTAGCAACGTCAGAGTTGCAAAATAACAAAATTCTTCACTTTGTACCATGGGTGTCAAGGAACTTCTTTTTAACACATTATTATTATTATTATTATTATTCAAATGTTTGAAAAATTTATATTACATTATATATGTAAATACACACAGGAGTCAAATTACAAAACAAAATGCCTTTTAATGTCCAACAGTACAAAGATGACTGTTGCAAATATACATAAAATAATGAAAGTGGTGTAAAGCCAAATTTTTCACTCAGAATATAAACCAGGAAGTAAAACATATCTATGTTTTTAGTAATTTTTCTTATTATATATATAAACAGTTTACTGTATGTATGTACATATATTTAATTCAACTGTTTCTTCCTACTTCTCCTAAATTAAATTAACATGGGGCCCCTAAAAATTCAGAACCATCCAAATTTGAAACTGAAAAATTGCTCTTTGCTTCATAGTGTAATGACAACAGCAGGAAGTTCTAAATACTGTCAGGAGACATCTTCAGGTCCTTACACTCGCCATACATTAAGCCTAATTCAAAATGGTGGTATAAAACTCCAGTAGTTAAAATCTGACTATTATCAACGGTATTACAGTACAACCCCACTCATAGCTGAAATGACCAGAACATACCAATTAAGCTTGTAACTAAGTGGTCACTGCACACAACATTTAAATGTGACACACAATTAGGGACAGATGGGGTGAAGCTTGGAGCCAGAATTCTATTTATAAATGTTCATCTGCTGTAATGATACTATACCAAGTAACTTCAGTCTAGTTTAACTCTCACATATTCAACTGTTTTGAAGTGACACATCCTGACACACGCTGATAAAATTATTTATATTCAGAATCTTATGACAGTGGAATATAACTTAATTTTGTTGACAGAAAGTGATCTTCATCACAAACCTGGACTTACACAGCATGCATGTTAAGTTCGGCACAGCATTCAGGAATCTGACCATGCATTTAATGGACCTGGATTCATCCTATGGCCTCTTTATTGAGTGATCTGATACCTCAAAACAACCCATTAAAAACAAAGTAAGACACCTTTACTCTGTGCTACAGAAGGAAATTCAAGAACTCAAATGTGCAACAAAAACACTAGTAACTCTAAACACTTTCTCTTTCCTTCAGTTCCAATTTGTGATGGATCTGGGAAAATGCTAAAAGACCAAGTGCAAATATTAGAATACTGAAGAACCTTCAAGTTTCCCAACTCTGACATGTGCAACAGATGAACTACAAACACAATCCACCTACAAAAACAACTTATTCCAAGATGAAAATCTGTTAAATATTTCTATTACTGGCTAGATTAGTTTATCAGTTTTGAAGAACACAGATGCTGATATAACACTGGAATACAGCAATGTTTTTAGTAAATCAATTTACTAACTGAATGCAACACTGAAAGTTGTCATTTACGTTCAAATCACTTTGTCTTATGTGTACTATAAACTGTACACAAATATCCTCTGAAACATTATACTGCCAAAGCAAAATAAATAGAGAAAAAAAATGGCTTCTCTTTTTGTCATTTCAATAATTAGTTGTTTTGTTGCTATGACATGTGTTAATACCATTACCTTAATCCATAAGTGTACAAAATGCAGTAGTTTGTGTGTAACAAACTTCATGGCATACGTATTATCAAAGAAATAAATTTCTTCCAATGACTTTTTTGTATTAAAAACCCACTAAGAGGCAACCTAAATAAAGTAACTTGTCCACCATGAGGAAGGGGGCACAAAGTGTAACTGCAAACTTTCAGTAACGATTGTCAAGTCATTGTAATGATAAGAAAATCAGAGTGAGGAGGAGAGAAGAAGAAAAAAAATCTGGAACTAAGTAATAAAAATGTGAATTTCTGCAGTTCCTCTAAAAACAAGATGATTGCTCTCTCATCCACCCACCAACAATTACCAGTAACATACACGAATATATACACACAAAAGCATTTTTATATTCATCATGAAGTAAATGCAAAAATGGAGAGGACAGTAAATCATATCCAGAGAAGACAGACAACATACTTAATTCAAAAATGTGTTAACTGTAAAGCCTCAAAAACTCACTACTTCCACATTTATGAAATTCACATACTTCTTTACCTGTATGTTGCCACACTACTAGTCGAAACAATAATGGCCATCAGGAATACTTGTGGAAAACATTTACTGTCTGTCCAACTACCAGCACCAGCTAGCAAGTTGAACAGGCTGATGCCTGAGCAGTCACACAAGGATGGACGATGAAACTGGTAGGCCTGACTGCTGAGGTGAGGTTGCAGGGGACCTCCAGAACTAACCTCACACAAAGTCATGACTTTTCACACGACCACCATCACCCTCTGACACGAAACGCTTACGGCCCCTAAAGGGGGAAAAAACAAACAAAATTAATGACCACAAGATTCTGCATGAGATGCATAATGCAACAACAGAGGATTCCACAATTTCAATCCTTTAGTTAGTTATGGTAAGGTAAAGCTATCCTTGTAACACATCGTGAGAGCCCATAAGGTTATGAGACATCAAGGCTCCCACATTATCTAGACAACTGGCTCACAGATGGTGGTAAGGTTGTCAGCTTCATGTGCCGGCCACCCTTACCCCCCAAAAAGATTCCTGGTACTAGTTTCCTTTAGAGGCTGAGTCGATCACACGGCCACAGTGCGGCTGGTAGGATTAGGTAAATTTAAAAGAATCCACTTCATTGTGACTTGATCCCAGGACCTTCCAGCTTGTAACATAGTGCCCCCACAGTTGGTCATTTTAATTACATGAGAAAATTATATTTTCATGCATTTGGCAAGATAGGAAACATGGTTGGAGGATTATATTTAAATGGTTACTGAATGACGTTTACTTAATGTGAACTCTCACAAACTTCCTCATGAATGAATCCAGTCACCACTTTTGTGTTAGTAATACTGAACTTCCAGAGGTGGGACTGAAATTAAATGGAACACATCAGCTGTTGGTCTGTGCCAATGATGTGAATCTATTGGCTGATAATATAGATACCATAAAGAAAAACACAAACTTTAATTGATGCAAGTATAGAGGTTGGTCTAGATGTAAACACAGAGAAAACTAAGTATATGTTGCTGTCTCGTCCCCAAAATGTAGGGCAAAATCATGACATAACAATAGGAAACAGATGTTCTGAAAATGTGGCACAGTTGAGATATTTGGGAACAAAGATAACAAATCAAAACCTGATTCAGGAGGAAATTAAGAGGAGACTGAATTCGGGTAATGCTTGCTACCGTTCAGTCCAGAACCTTTTCTCTTCCCGTTTGTTGTCCAAAAACATAAAAATTAGAATATACAAAACTATAATTTTGTCTGTGGTTCTGTATGGGTGTGAAACTTGGTCTGTGATATTAAGGGAGGAACACAGACTGAGGGTATTTGAGAACAGGGTGTTGAAGAGAATAACTGGACCAAAGAGGGATGGAGTGACAGGAGGCTGGAGAAAAGTGAATAACAAGGAGCTTCATAACTTGTACTCTTCTCCAAGTATAATTAGAATGATGAAGACAAGGAGGATGAGGCAGGGCATGTAGCACGAATGGGGGGAGAATAGAAATGCATATAGGATATTGGTGGGAGAGCCAGAGGGAGAGAGATCACTGGTAAGACCAAGGCATAGGTGGGTGGACAATATTAAAACGGATCTTAGAGAGATAGGATGGGATGGCATGGATTGGACTGATCTGCTCACGATAGGAACCAGTGGAGGGCTCTTGCGAACACGGTAATGAACCTTCGGGTTCCTCTAAATGCTGGATAATTCTTGAGTGGCTGCAGAATTGGCAGCTCCTCCAGAAGGGCTCAGCTTCATAAATACGTAAATCCTGAACTTTCAGGTTTTTATATGTTAACTGTGCATAAATTGTGCTATCTGAATAGCATGGACGGGGTTTGGATTGGTGAATAGATTTATCTTATACTTACAGGTTGTAACTGCAAATAACTATAACACTATCCCTACTTCCACACTTTACAGTTCACTACAGCATACAGCCTAGTACTCTGTTTGTTACTAGACGTTTCTGGGCAACGGCTCCAACAATGACTATTCCGTCCTGTCTTCACAGACTTCATTACAGAACTGACCAAGCTCTAACCTTGTCCCTAACTTATAACATCTTAGCATGGACCACTTTCTATTGTTGCATTCGTCTGTTGCTGCAGGAACATGTTTACCAAGCTGTTGCCTGGAAACAGCTCTTGTATATCTGCCCACCTCGTGGTCATTGAATTACAAAAACTCTACATGCTACACTATTAAACACTTTTACTCATCCACATATTATTATCATTATTATTTTTATTTGGAAGGGGTGGGTTTTCCCATGCACTCTGACCATTTGTTGATCTATTGTGCGTCCACCTTTAAATATTCTAACTAGTCGCCATGCCCTTCCAGTACTGGTGCTCGCTATCAGTCCCATTCTGCCAGTGAGGTCGGCCCTCTCTGGTAGTGGTCCCCGATACTTCCCCATCTACTGGAGGAATTGGAAACTACTTGGGCGGGAAACTTGCCTAATTTTGCTCAGAGGTCTCCTAGACCTAGGATCTTTTACGTGCCATAAATCTATGACACGGGACACACGGCTTAGGGTCCCTCCCAGAGGACTTGTTCCCTGAATTTTTCCGCCCTTAAAAATTCGACCTCCGCTGGGTTTGAACCCACGTACCTTCAGTCATGAGGTGGGAACGTTACCCTTAGACTATGGAGGCCGCTTACTCATCCACACAAGTATTATCAGCGTGATCAAATCAAGAAGGAAGAGACAGCAAAAACATTGAAAATACAAGGATGAGACAAGATACTAATCCAAATGTTGGCTGTGAAACCTGACAGAAGCTCACCACTTGAGCCACATAGATGTATGTGTATATTAAAACAAATCTTCGATTTGGATCATCTGGCTCAGGATACAGTCCACAGGTGGGCTTATGTTAACATGACAGTGAACTTTGAGGTTAGGAAAAGTGCACAGAATTTCTTGGCTAGCTGGGTCACTCAAAGTTATCAAGGATTCTGTGTCATAAGAATATCCAACTTTTGCATATCAAGTTTTGGTGCCTTTTCAAATATTGAGAAATTCTGAGTAACAGACTAGCTATGGACACTTCCAACCACTTTATGCAAAATATGTGGTATGACTCTTCCAACTTTTGTTGTTTACAAACACTTCAAATTCAGCATTTCATGTATTCCAGTTGTATTAATGAGGGAAGACCTGGAAACATTTTCCATTTAGTTTTGTACAAACCTGGAAGGCATCTTCCTGATAACCTCATCTGTGAGGAACCCTCCCTTCTGACAACGCTCCACAAATCGTTCAAGCACTGTATAGGCTAGAGGAACATCCAAACATATGTCAGGCATGTCTTCATACACCCTGAGAAATCCCTGCAAGAAGAAACACAAGCAATAATAAGATACAACAAAACAGCATGGCAAAACGCCTAGCTCTTTATCTGAACTCATCCTTTTCTCCTTCCAACAGAGTAGATTCTGATCATTCAACATGGCTCAGATACTACATGCAACAAAGACATTTGGTCACCTTCTTTGTTAGCAAATAGACACTCATTCCACTTATCATCAGGTATCTTGAAAATTTTATTCTAGAAAATAAATACTGTGTGCAGAAACATAAGTCCATTGGTTATTCCATTAAGTAACGGGAATTCCACTTACACTTAGATCATTACAAATATTTACTAATGTGGTACTAACCCTCTCCATCATGTCGGGAGTTATTATGATGGCAGCACACAAAGACTTGAGCAATTTACACATCATTTCCTCGGTGTGGCCACTGATGGCCTCAATCGTCATGACAACAGCCTTGAAACAAAAATGATTCCTCTACATAAATTTGATACAAAAGCCAGAGAATAATAACCTTAAATACACACAATCTAAATGATTCACAACAATGAAAGTACAAAGACATAAAAACAAAAATGAAAGAGAGGTACCCAATGATATTAGTTACATAAACTACTGCTTCTCCTCCAAAATTACTATATATTAAGCATGAGCAACTTATTTTTAAAAGTAACAAAGCCTTTTAAGAATCTCAAAAAAAAAAAAAAATAGGTCCAGTTTACACAATGTATGCACATTTACTTACTTATGGAGCTGAGCCCTTCTTGAGAAGAAGCCAAATCTGCAGCTACTCAAGAATATTGTACAATACTTCCTCCTAACTGAATCACAGGCTTTCTTGAAGTCTACAAATAGCTCATGTACTGTCTCACTGTAGGCACACTACAAAGTGTATTCAAAGTGCATACACCTCATCACTCAATATTTTGCTCTGAAAATTGAGCTACATGAACTATCTTCAATATACGACAGAATCAGTCTGATCTAGTGGAAGCAGTCTCAGCTCATGACAGAGGCAGTAGGATGGGACAATGTAAGACATATTTGCTAACTGTACCTCATACACCAGCTCGTGGTGAAAGTGAGGCACTTCCAAATCCAGAAGACACCTGGTGGCTTCCTGAAGATCTCCTGAAGACAGGTACTCCTGAAGAAGCAATGTCATCTGACGAGTGAGATACTTGACAGGTCGGAGTCCACCACCCACTCCCCACACATTGTCCAGCCGTACCAATCCATGTTTCATTGAGAGCAGTGTGTCAGCACGGGACAGGGCTTGTCTGTGTCACAAAATGCATTACTCCAGTTTTCTTAAGATTTCCAAACCCTAATTTAGTGGCATGTGCTAGTCAAATATGGAAAAAAAAACAGGTATGAGATTCTTTACAGTAATTCTGTTTGCTCCAATTCTACAGCAAACTGAAGTCCTATGTCACTTCAAAGTGTGTCATATTTAAATGGTTATAATGTAAACAAATATTTGATCCACATCTACTATTAGAGCTGGGGAAAAAATTATGAATAGTTGTCCCTGTGCTTAATTCATTAGAAAACACTGCAAGAAGACATATGGAGAAGCAGAGGTACAGTTCCACCATTCTTGATCTCAGCACTAGATAGAGGCAAGCAGTCAGGTTAACACCCTGTCTACTCTATCCCTGGTGAAAGAGCTCCCCAGTACCCATTGGGCCCCAGAGTCAGTCTGGACACTGGAAGAAGAGAAAAACCACTGACCTCCAACCCACAGCTCATAACTATACCAACTGACAGTTTATATACAAGACAATATGTAATTAGAAGTAGTCATTACAGATAAAAGAAGCTTGATGCATGCTACCACCACACAGGTAAAGATAAAAAGTAAGAGTAATTTTTTTAATTTGCTTAGTGGAGGGTGGAGTCCAAATGGGTCCACTCAGCACGGCAGTCACTGATTGGCCTATTGTAGCCTGCCCCAGGTGATTATGATGATGGAGAATTTGGTGGAATGAAGACTGGCAGGGGAAACCAAAGTACTCGGAGAAAACCTTCCCCAGCGCCACTTTGTCCACCCCAAATCCCACTTGATCAGAACGGGAATCAAACCCAGGCTGCCGCGATGGGAAGCCAACGACTAACCACTTGATCTATGGCACGGCCAACAGTAATAGTAAATACAACATATGTAGTTAGCACACAGCAAGAAGCAAACGGATTGATGCAAACATATAACATGTAACAACTAGTCCTGTAGTAGCTCAAAAAGCATCTGACATCACCTTCTATGGCACAAAAGAAGCACAAATCTGCAAATCCTACTTGAATCAAGTTCATGGGGTAAATTGCTTCCACATATTCCCTTATTTACTTTACTTCCAGAAACACAATAAATTTCACATCCAGTGGCAATGAAGTGTGTATCTCCCATTTCTCAACAAATCATCCTATATCATTCACCTTTTATAACCTAAGATTTAGCGAGAGACTACAAGCAAACTGTGGCACAGGAAACTTGTGGACAGCAAAGTCAGAAGCGAAAAACGAATACGGCAAAGTCTGTGATATCTGGCAATGGATTATTTCAAAAACTGTATTAACCAGGAACTGACTAATGATGAATACAAAGATTAAAAGAGTGCATTATTGGTGTCTTGCTGGTTTCTTTGGATTATACATACACCACATTATACAGAGGGTTTCACAACTTTAGGGCATAACTGCAGAAGGTGATTTATAAACATGTGTCCGATTTTGGATGGTTACGGAGTTATGACCGTTTTAAACTCAGAAAAGAAGGTAACGATTACTGACAATAAACAGAACAAAATAATAAACCAACATAATACATGATACATTTAAAGTATGAGTGTAAAGTTAACTTCGTGAAATTACCTTTAATTTGAATTGACTGGTGCTTAAAGCCGATTTTCGAAAATGCCACCGCTGCCCACAACACAGACTGCCGCTCGGTCGTGAACCGCACCGGACATACTAACCCCCACCCCCGCCTTAGGTAGCTCTCAAGTGTCGAGATAACGAGTACACTCTGTCTGTAGCTTGCTAAAAATAGCGACCTGCCAGCTGACAGCCACAGTTCACACGGGGGCGCGTATGGGAATGAAAAAACGGTCATAACTGCGTAACCGTCCAAAATCGGATACATGTTTATATGAACCTTTCTGATCACAAAGATGTAGGAAATCATCTCCTGCAGTTATGCCCTGAAGTCGTGAAACACCCTGTATAAGAAGTGAAGAAACAGGGACAGTCAGTGTGGCAGGGAAAATATGACAGGATATAAAGTATCAAATTAAATGGTTAGATCTGTCCTTGAGGTTGCTGCATACACTAGATTATACATTAGGTACAACATTCTATCTTCCGGAAAACTACAATATCCGACAACACTCTGGTCCTGGATATCACAATATTCATTCTACATGACACCAATTCCAAAACAAAAACCTATCAAAATAGTCACTTATTCAGGATTAGTTCCTGAACTATGAAAAACAGGAGTGACAGAACACCATATATAAAATTTCTTCTCCATAAAACACCATGTAAAGCACAGTTCTTCGTTTAATCAATGACTTGTCAAAAATATACATTATATAATACCAAATGACAGGATCATTAAGAATAATACTGAATTGGGAAGAGAATTGAATAAAGCTGTTATGACCTATTTCAAGGTACTACCCGAACACAGAGGAGGTCAAAAAGGCTCATAACTGCTCTCAAACCGAGGACCTCCCAAAAATGGAGGAGTGCTAACCAGTGCATCATTACAAATCATTCCTGGTTTAANAGAATTGAATAAAGCTGTTATGACCTATTTCAAGGTACTACCCAAACACAGAGGAGGTCAAAAAGGATCATAACTGCTTTCAAACCGAGGAGGAGTGCTAACCAGTGCATCATTACAAATCATTCCTGGTTTAAAGAAAAATGTTCATATTTTATTTAGATGTTCACTTAATTTGTGGAAAATTCTCCTGAAGAATTAAATCCACTCCAGTGGTATAAAGTACATCACTAATCACCTGGCATGATCACAGTCAACTTTCTCCTTGCAGATCTGGACAAATTTTGGTGGCAGACAGTCATCAGCCACTGCTCGAGCTATGAAGTTGCCAAGGACAGTGGCTGCATCAGGTGTGTCCAGCACCAAATCTGGAAGGTTCTTCAGCAGAACCTCAAAAGCTGTCAAAAGGAACAATTCAGTTTCATCAGAGAACTGAAACAACATTCCAGATCCTAAGTTTCACCAAAGAATAATGATGATGACATATCAAAAAACAAGATTTTTTTTAAAATCTCAATCTGAAGTTTGCAATATTAACTAAAAAATTATGCTTCTATGGCAGTGCATCCATCAGGAAGTTGCCATACACAGATACACTGTTAGATTATATACATTACAGATGGTAACCTAAAGTGTGGTAAATATGCATGTGGACGTGAAGCATTTAAGAGAATCACGTTTCAAAACTTCGTCTTCAGGAACGCATCCTTGCATAAAATGCAACTGCACTGTACATGTCCGGACTCTTCAGGTCATCACACCCAGGTATTTATTCATGGGACGACTACAACCGTGCGGTTTTGTATCAGTTGTGCTGAACGTTTGGGAACGATTACCATAGCGTTAGCTCATGATCAGGCATGTCTATATTGTTCACCAATGTAAAACAAACATTATTAATAGTTGCCAACACATCATACCAAACTGTATTCTTTTTGTTCTGTGTAGTGGTTGAGGCACCGTGCTACAAGCTAGGAGGTTGCGGGTTCATGTCCCGATGAGGTCACTGGATTTTTTTTCAATTGACCTAATCCTTCCAGCCACACTATGGCCCAGGGGTCGACTCAGCCTCTAACAGAAATGAGTACCAGCAATTAATTAAATAATTTTCCTGGGGAGTAAGCGCGGCCGGCGCGTAAGGTTGACAACCTTACCGCCATCCTTGAGCAGATTGTCTGGATAATGTGGGACCCTCAACGTCTCACAACCCTATGAGCCTTCATGGCCTGTTGCAGGCATAGCTTTAATTTTTTTTTTTACTTTTTTACCTTACTACTGCCTTTTAGGACACATTCAACAGGCCACTACACCAATCACTAATCTATCTGGCAAGTAGCATTTTTATATTTTCATTGCAATCAATTATCAACTGTCTTTTGCACAACACATTTCACATGTTTCAACATTACACATTGCCTATACACCGAAAATGTTAATCTGGTGTTATTTATCTCACTCTTCAATGCTCAATTTCCCAAGTACTGTGTTTGTTTTAAATTCATATGCCAATTAAAAGTGGATGAGGTACTACAAAGTCATCATATTTGTAACTGTAAATACTTAAAAAGCCGGTCACGGTAGCCAAGCAGTCTAAGGCATGTACTGTCTTCGCTCGCTTGGAAACCAGGATCGTGGGTTCGAATCCCACTCAGGGCATGGACGTTCAGTTTGTGTGTGCGCGTTTTTCTGTGTTTGTGTACAGGTAGAGGCCTTGCGACGAGCCGATCACCTGCCCAAGGAGTCCTATCGAATGTGTAAGAACTAGAAAAACCAAAGTGAACGGAGGAGTTCATGGAGGTAGGCCTAGGCCCACTGGGGCTATAGTGCCAAAGAAAAAAAATATTTAAAAAACATTCTGAAGTCCAGCTCCAGTGGTTCGTTACGCATCACCATCAAACTGAAAGTAAACGCTCTATCTTCCAAAGGTCTACTTACCTACATAAATTCAGATCATGTATGGCAAGCATTACTCCCACCTTAAAATTCTGCATGGCTGTCTTGACTGTACTACTGATGGCAGAAAATTATAAAGAACAGAGATGGGGAGAGTGATTCCTAATGGCAAATATCCAACACAAATTCCACGAAACCACATCAACTGGTACATCAGAATGAACTCCTGGACCTCTCCAAGTTCAGACTTTATTTAATCTTTCGCATGGAAATTGAAACCAACCTCTGCCGATGTCTTTTTGAGTTACAATACGTCCATAGAGATCAGAAATGAGGACTGATGTCATTTCGCGGTGGGACGGTTTGTGATCCATTGCAATTTCCACAGCTAACACTGGAATCTGGAAAAGAGAAGAAAGGAATCTGAAACTGTTTTCACCAACAAATTATAAAATATCAACATACTTCATCTGTATCAAAGTACACAAGGATAGTGAACCCTGTTTGAAGTGAAAACATTCCTATGGCTGAAAATTAGTGGCGTGTTATCTGGAGAGTAAAAGAAAGCACATTATTGGGAGTATGCATGCCGGCTTTCCGTAACAGTGTAAAAGTGAAACATAAAGTTGTCCCTGTGCACCACACTGTAAAAATGTATACGGGAGTAGATGTACAGCTCCACCATTACTGACATTGGCACTGAATGGAGGTGAGTGGTCAGCATCATGCCGTGACCACTTTACTTCCTGAGAAGGAACCCAGTACCCACTGAACAGAAGGCTGGGTGGGCACCACATCCAGTCTGTACACTGTGGGGAAAAGAAAAATTCCCTGACCCTGCCCATACTACCTAAGCTATCCCAGCACAATTATCAGTATCCAGTCATGAAGGATGAGATGGACAGGGCTTGTAACATGCACAGGGAAGCAAGGAAACAAATACAGAGCTTTGGCAGCAAAGAGACCAGTACAGAAGACCTAGATACAGGTGGGGGCTATTGACTGCATTCAACTGGCTAGGAATAGAGATCAGTGGTGTGCTCTTGCAAACACAGTAACAGTAATAACGAACCTTCACGATCCATAAATTGATAAGAAATGCCTGAGTAGCCACCAGTAGCTTCTCAAGAGAACTCAGCTTCATGGAGCCAGATGGTTACAGTGAATATTTATTTAACTGAAGATTTATTTATAAACTACAATACCTATAGCACACTTTGAAGGCAATTTAAGTTACTCACCAGATACCGTTTTGTACCACAGTTAATTTCATCAAATGCTAGTGCTGCTTCTGCGGTGTCTCCGTGTTCAAAGTATTCCAAGATTATGGGCTCAGCACCTTTCTGAAAATTTAAACAACGAAGCTAATATTACTACAGTTACATAAGCCAACTGATATACTATAAAATACTAACAAAACAAACTTCATGGCCTTTAGTCCACAAGTGAACTATATCAAGCAAGCGACCGCTGCTTGTCGGCGTAGTTAAATGATTAACAAATTCAAATTAAGGTCCATTTCTCAACTTGCACATATAAGAATCATGAAGTACTAATGATGTACTTCACAGCAAGCCTTACACAGATTTTACTGAAGTGATATCATCTACACAATGTCACATTTTCCACACTGAGGCTTCATTTTTCGCATAATTTCATGGGAATTAAAAAGTACTTTCTTTATATTTTACACTGCTCTAAAACAAATGTTTATACATGAAAACATTATCAATATCACAACCAAAAAAAGGAAATTTAATTTCTGTATACTTAAATTTATGGAAGCTGAGTATTTCTCTATTCTTTCTGTTGCCCTTCCTCAGTCCTCCTCAAACACAGGGTGTACAGTTTATCATCACACTGATTCCTGCAACTGTCATGGCACTCCTCTCATACAGACCCACTGCAGCAGCTGATAGTAATTCACTGCTCACTGTTCTGCTGTAGTTTAACTTACCTCAAAATAGTAGAGTCTCAAAGTGATGATCCTGTACTTGTCAGCAAGCCTCACTCATATCATGAGAACGTGTTTCCAGACACACAGTGAAGCTGCTGTAGAGGCAGAAATTTCAGGCCTAATATTTTCATTAAGTTTTCCACACAGTGCAGACTGTTCATAGCACAGGACCCCCCCCCCTCTCACTCACATACACAAAGGCTATGGTTCACTTTCCTGTCATTATGAATGTTAGCCAAGTAATTACGAAGGGCCACAATAATGTTTCAAATTACTGTCCACCTCTGTCAAAGAATGTGCTGTTCTTCATTGGAGCATCACTCACTGCAAATTGTATTCTATCAAGTTTAGTACATTAGTATACATGCAGCTACCATGAAAAGTTAGGTGTGTTAGTTCTTTTTAGTTCACCTTCCTACTGAAATTTCCACAAGCATAAAACTCTTCCCTTACCTGGATCTCTTCATCAGATATCTCAGGAATGATGGTCTTCAGTTCGATGTCACCATTGTCGAGGGAGTCACTGTCATAATTGGGGTCATTCACGTCAACATCAGCTTCAACTAGCTCAGACCCCAATTTTCCCCACACACCCTTACCACCAGCACCTCCTGTCAAAAGATAACCTTAATTAAAATCTATGTAAATGTTCAAATTGCCCATTCATATTAACAAAATACAAAGTAACATGATTACATGATTCTACGTATCAGAGAAACAGACGCAAATGATATGAGATTTAAATCGCTTCCCACTCATTATCACATTTCTTCCACTTCTCTTCAATGACCACAAGAAGACTTGTACCATCCTGTTATAAAGAGTTTCCTCATGTTTTCACAAAGATGGAATATGGCTTCAAGGATAGAACTAAGTACTGCAGTAAACTGAGGTGATGTCATTTATTTGGTTCATGAATACTTCAATCGGCTGGCATACCAGACATGAGATTGTGTGCAATGAAATCTCTGCAATCATGACTGTGGTTCCCACTGAATACTAAAAGTAGAATCTAGTAACCTTCCAATGATAACATAACAATCTGCATCATTAACCAGTAATGACACACTGACGAACATGTCTCAAATAATGGCTGAAAACTCACCCAACAAAACATGCATTTATTAGCTATAAAAATGATAAAATCGGCGCCTTTCAATATAAGGAACCTATATTAAACCATGACAATCTGCAATAAGTCAAAACATTTGTGTCCAACAATTTTGCTACATGGCAATGCTTACTATACATGCAGAAACACATTACAGAAGGTAACTGCAAACATGTTCTCAGAATAACACATGAAACCGGAATTCAGTTAAGTTATATATTCAGGTGTCATGGCCTTATGGAACCTTACACTTCATCACCTGTCATACAGCTCAGTTCAAATTACTTCACACTCAAAACTCGACACCCTCCACATAAAATAACTTTAATCAGGAAATTAACTTACAGGCCTTACTTAAGACTCAATTTTAGTAAAGTAAAAATAAATGTAGCCTTGTAACAGGCCGTGGAGGCCCATAGGGTTGTGAGACGTTGAGGTTCAAACATTTTCTAGACAATCGGCTCATATATGGCGGTAATGTTGTCAGCCTTACGCGCCGGCCACCCTTTAACCCCCAAGAATATTCCTGGTACTCATTTCTGTTAGAGGCTGAGTCAACCCCAGGGCCATAGTGCGGCTGGAAGGATTAGGTCAATTGAAAAAATCCAATGACCTCATCAGGACTTGAACACGCGACCTTCCGGTTTGTAGCATAGTGCCTCAACCAACTATGCTACCGCGTGCCCACACTCAATTTCGGTAACATACTTAATTTGCTTGTTTTTGTGTTATGTAAGTGTCCATATGCCACCACAATGCATATCAGTACAGAGGCAAATTAACTTACAACAAGCTATCAGTAAACTTGATACAAGTAAGAATGGTGGTCTCACTGCAGTACTGTAAACAGACAACAGATAACTTCCATAAGCTACTAAACATTCTTGTAGATAGCCAACTGTAAAGGTGAAGTTGTCACTGTGCTTAACTAATTAAGCACCATGCCATGAAGACGCATGGGGGAATGAACATATAACTCCACAATTCCTGACTTCAGCACTACTAGATGGAGGTGAGTGGTCAGCTTCACGCTCCAGCCGTTTCACCACCGGGGAAATTGGATAGGAGAGTGGGATGGGATCCAGTGCCAGTCCAACGCTGTGGAATAGAGAAAAATCTTACCCCTGCCGGGAATGGAACCCCGGTTGTAGAGCCTGAAATACTATATCATCAGTCTCGACGCATGACTTCAATGAAGTTGAATTTCCATGGGAAATCTACAACCACGGTTACAATTCCAACTGAACTACTACAAACAAACTTGCTGGCATATTCGCGAAGAGAAGTTACAAAAATGCACCCATAAACTTCACCACGTTTGTCTATCTGTTTGCAACTCTAGAGCCACTGAATAATTTTCATTAGATTTTGTTATTGCAGGTGGGATTTCATTACAATTTATCAACAGGTTCCAATCCTAGTAAAAAAACACACTCCGTTGCTTTAGTCCGCAAGCGAACTATATCGATTGAGCGACCGCCGCTTCTCGGCGAATTTAGTGCCAGCTTTACCGGATAGAGGGTGTCGCGTGGTCTGCGCAACGAATACCCATGGCCGTTAATTTCGGTTTTCTAAACCGGAGCCGCTACTTTTTCATTCAAGTAGCTCCTCAATTATCCTCACGAGGCTGAGTGGACCCCGTTCCAGGCCCACTACTTCTCAGAAAATCTGGCAGCGCCGGGAATCGAATCGGGGACCTCTGCATCTGTAGCCAGGAACTCTGGCCACTAGACCACAAAGTCGGTCCATTGTGGTTAAAACTGTTAAAAAAAATACTCACTTCGCATAATCTACATTCGGTTTTGCGCTCAAGTGCAATTTGCAATGATTTTGCCCGAAATTTTCGGCGCCCCTGTTTGTTCTTCCGCTTAAATGCCACAGCGTATCCGCCTACAAGCAAACGAATGTTCTCGAAGTGAAGCCATCAAAAGCAGTTATTTTCTCATCGCCTCCAAGACCAGACCTCCAGACCGCATATCTTAGACCAACCTAGCTTTCTGTACGAATGGTTTCGAGGGCTCTTTCTTCACAGAGTAATACGACCGGGACGCAAAACTAGCAACTCAGCTCCACTTTGTGCCGAGGTTAGGAATAGGTGGGGCTTAACCTCCAGACCCGATGAGTTCATGACGTGAGACTTAATACACAGAACTTAACCTTTACGCTACTCAAGGCCATGAGACTCCGTCAGGAAACGCGGCACTGATACGGTAAGCTGTAAACAGGACGTGTGAATTATAGTTCCAAAGAAAAAGGATTCTACTTCCGGTTCTGAGAACAACAGTAAACAGAATAAACTGTACCCATTTGAGGTTTTCACAGCGGTGGTTATGAAGAGTTCTGTCTTCTGGGATATAACGCTGTATAGTCCACTGAAAGACAACCGACGTTTCGGAACATGACCCCTCAGGCCGAAGAATAAACCAAACAAGAAACCTATGGACCACAGGTAGCAAGCAACCTGCCACCTGTTTTCCATTGGTTTCTTGCTTCTTCAAGCATAAATTTGTTTCCTGGTTTAACGATGCATCTTCAACTACACATGTTATATATGTAGATTGATCGAGAGAAGTCGGCGAAGAAAGATATAAAGGGAAAGGTCCACTACCTACTTTAAATATTCCAGCATTGTCTCCTGGGGCTGTGGAAAACGACGAAAAATGTCACAGTCTAGCCTTCAGACAGAGAATCGAACCCAGGAGCTCCAGAATACAAGACAGGTCTACTAACTGCTCAGTAAGTCTAAAATTTTCAACCGAAACATTTATTTCGAGTACACCAAATTAACTTTTACATTATAAAGAATATTTCCTTTCATGAAACGTTCGTTCAGTAACAACCGTTGCTGAATGAGAAGCAGATCAATACACGCTCCCTGCAATACTAGGCTCGGCATGGAAGAACACGCCCAACAGCTGAGTTAAGGGTCCCAGCAACCCTATATACATATATACAAGAACAGAACGGCGAGGCGTTTCGCGGCCTGGTGTCACGCTTACTTAAAAGTTCCTTACCAGTAAGAAACGGTGTCAGCCGTCGTAGCACCGCCCAGTGAACTTAATAAAATGTCAGCCACTGTGCTTTTTCTTGGCAGTTATTTCATTCTTATTTTGCATACGCGTGCGTGCATCCATTTCGGTTCGGGTTGACTAAATTGCTGCTAGCCCTCGCCAGCACAGTCATTCTTGGTTCCAGGTCCCGCGGGACTCATGACCTATTTTTCTCTCTCGCAACTCTTAGGGGGTTGCGCAACTACACCAGCCTCTCACTCCATCTGTGCGACGATTTCTTATATTTGATTTTATACATTTCGTCACGGCCGTGGTTCGATTACCAGCAGAGGCAAACTTTTATATTCTTCACAGCGCCCAGACCGGCTCTAGGGCCCACCCTGTCTCCTAACCAATTTGTACTGGGGGCTCTTTCCTCGCAGGTAAAGTGGCCGAGGTGTGAAGCTGATCACTCACCTATGTCTAGTGCCGAGGTCAAGAATAGTGGAGCTACTGTTACGGAAACAAAACCTGTAACTACCCACGCCAGCTGTTATGTCGTTCGCGCAATAAAATTCCCCTAGTTACGAAGCGAGCATCCGGGTTTCAAATAACGCATAGATAATCGTTATCAACTGGTAAACCTTACGTCACCTCCGACAGAACAAACTAAATGAATAAGCTAAAGTTGACACATGTAAAAACTGTTCGCTGCTTAATTAAGCGCCACGGCATTAAGACGTAAGCGGGAGTGTAGGTATAGCACCACACATTAATTTCGGCGCTCGATGGAGGCCAGTGGTCAGCTTCACGCTTCGACCGCTCTGCTCGAGGCCGGAGAGACCTCAGAGCCTGTCTGAAAGCTGTGGAGAAAAGGAAAATCTCTTTTCTTGCCAATAAAATAGAATCCCGATTCCTTATTCGTCTAGCCCAGTGGTTCCCGAGATTTTTCCGACCACCGCCCCCCCCTTGGTTCCATAAACTCATCAGTCATCACCAATGGCCCCTGCCCTACCCTATAAACAGGATTCTTCAGAATGGCGGTTTGCACGACCCACTAAAGATGATAACAATAAAGTAAGATACGACATTTAGCAACTGCTTCATTGTTAGTAAATTCTTAATGCGATGAATGGGCTTGTCCCAATGCCTGCTCTGAAGCCACTTCAATCGTAAATAACCGAATGCGGCGCTCGGAGGGGACCACCTCCAGCGCCCCCTACCGCCCGTTGCTTCTTAGCGTCCCCTTTAGGTAATCCCACAGCCACCCGCAGGGGGCGATACAGCCCACTCTGCGAACTACTGTCTATACCGTTGCCTAGTTACAATACGTACTGAACTGTAACGGCTCCCTGGGTCTTCTTTGCTGAAGCTAGGCGCCTCCCTCTGTCCAGGTACCCCACTCGTTACATTTAGCCTCTTCCAGACTGTTGTTCACTTCTGTTTCGGAGTAAAAATATAACCATTGTTTTCGTCTCATTTTACGATTTTAATTTTTAAGGACCGTTAC